GAATGTGAAATTTATAGCAAACAAGTAAAATATTTTTGTTAACTTTTACCTTTTACTATTTTACTCCTGGAATTTCCCGCGATGTAACGAAAAATATATAGAAGTCCCGAAAAATATAACACTGAAAACTCGAAAATTTCGCGAAAAAAACTCCCTACAATTAAAAAAAAATCCGAAAAATCCCCCAAAAAAAAATCCTGGAAATTTCGTAAAAATAAGGCACATAAAATACACAAGAGTCGCGGAAAGTGCAAAAAGATCTCAAAAAACAACAAACAAGTGTGTAGACAAACCGGTTTCGGCGTTATGCCATCTTCAGTGTGATTTTTGGTTTGTCTGCAAACCAAGCTTGACAAGGGATGACGGAAATTCGTTCCAGAATAAATCGTCTAGAATGATCTTGATAAATGTACGCATAAAATATCGAACATTCATAAAAAGATGCCGATGAGTCCCGAAAGATCTTGAAAAATAAAACGGCTAAGGTCCTGAAAAAAGCCTGAAAATTCACGAAGAGGTCCCAAATAGTCCGTATAGTAAAACAATATATTATTTTAAATAAAACCACGTAAACTTCGGAAACGTCTTGAAAGGTTACCGAAATTAGCCCGAAGATTTCCAAAAAATAAGGTACAAACAAAATAAAGAAGACTTCCGAATAAATTTTAAAGGTTCCTTGAAAAATCAAAGGTTCCAAAAATTCACAAAAAAATTTCGAGCAGCAAGGAGGCGTTCCGAAATACATTGAAAAATAAAATTGCAAACGTTACAAGAAGGCTTCGAAAATTCACAAAAAATGACGAAGGGTTCCGAGAGTAAAGCAGAACAACTACTGAAAAAAGTACTATAAGTCTGCAAAAGTTTTGTAAGTTTCCTGAAAAATTCGGAAAGTATTTCGAAAATTAAAGCACGAAAAATATATAAAGAGCGCCAATAAATTTCAAAAGTTCCTTTGAGAAATCTGGAAAATTTTCGAAGATACCAGAAAATTTTTGATAGCATTTTATTTTAATAAAATTTTTCGAAAAACAAAGCATGAAAAAATATGGAGAAAATTCCGAAAGTTCCCGAAAAATCTTGGAAAATCTTTAAAAAAACCGAGGATTTAGAAAGCTTACATTTTATTACTTAGCTTATTAGTGCTGTACAAGGAAACAAAATTCTAACACGAGGGAAGATGCTAATGATGTCTCCAAGAAAGCGGCAGAACAGTTTTTTTTCTGTATCCCTATTTAAGAATAAATTTTATTTACAGTCACTGACTAAAAGTTTCTTTAATGTGACCATAATGTATTGAAAAAAAATAAAAAATATACAACATTTATGCCCTGTAATCGACTTCATTTATTTCTCTCCAAGCCAAACCAATATTAAATTCTGCTTTGTCTTAATTTCACTTAGAATTAGGGCTGTGCGATTATTCGATTACTCGAGCAAGTTGGTTAATCAAT